CCTCCCGCCCGAGGCGGTCGGGCTCGGCGCCGGGGGCGGGAGGGGGCGGGGAGCGCGCCAGCCGAGAGTCGGGGGCGATGGCGAAGCTCAGGGTGGCTTACGAGTACACAGAAGCCGAGGACAAGAGCATCCGGCTCGGCTTGTTCCTCATCATCTCCGGCGTCGTGTCGCTCTTCATCTTCGGCTTCTGCTGGCTCAGTCCGGCGCTGCAGGATCTGCAAGCCACGGCGGCCAACTGCACGGTGCTGTCGGTGCAGCAGATCGGAGAGGTGTTCGAGTGCACCTTCACCTGTGGCACCGACTGCAGGGGCACCTCGCAGTACCCCTGCGTCCAGGTCTACGTCAACAACTCCGAGTCCAACTCCAGGGCGCTGCTGCACAGCGACGAGCACCAGCTCCTGACCAACCCTAAGGTAAGAACGCTGGGGGCTCCCGCCCGGCGGCGCCGAAGGTTTTGGGGCAGCGCCCGGGTTAGACCCCCGCGCGGAGTGTTCGGAGTCTGTGGTTGATAGGAGGAGACGCGCGTAGCTGTACCCAGACCATCAGCCGGTGCATCCGGGAGCTCCTGGGCTCCGGTCCTCGCAGTGGCTTGTGCGTGGGACTGGTGGTACCCACACCCTCTCTTTAAACACCTGTCTACCTTGTGTCGGATTCTGAGCTCCCGGCCCAGCCCAGGTCTCGCGCCTGTGGGACGGATTTACCGAAATCCAAGGAGCAGATAAAGTTAACTTTGTCTTCGAATATATCCCCTGGGTAGTGGGCACACTCTGCACAAGGTCAGCCACTGCCTGAGCCAAGAACTCCCACGGCTTGACCTGCCTTGAGAGCGCCTAGGTCTCTCTCTCTGCTCCTGGAAAGGTCTTTTTGCCTATTAGGTCTAAACGTTTTAACTTGGGGTCTAAAGAATCCAGCGAGAAATTGTTTAGGTCTTTTGGGGGGTGCCTGGAGGGGTCCTAACCACCCTGTGTTTAGGGACAACCAGAAGTCTGGAGAACAGTAAAACTTACTGAAAATAGAAAGCCCTCAATGAAATATATTGAACAGTCCTTTCCTGACAACTTTCAGTGTCACAACCCGAAAAGGAAAAAAGAAGGGGAAAAAATAGATAAAACCTGGTTAGGACTTGCGAGCCTCCAGAGAGCGGAGAGGGAGACTCAGAAAACTGTTCCCAGTGGAGAAAAGTGCTTATAAAAAGCAGTGTCCTCAGCCCGTGAACTAATTGAGCTTTGTAGCGCACCTGCTTCTATCAAGAGTTTCTCTTTGATTCCTGTGGCCCTTCCTGCCTTCCTTGTGGCTTACCTATCAAAGTAAAGGTGGGTATATTTTTAAAAGTTACCGACACTTTTCGTCTTTGTGAGGGTCATGCTTGAAGACTAAGCAGGAAATCAGTCCAAAGAATGAATCCTGTGTACACAGGAAAACGTTCTATTAAATGTGACAAGGGAACATTTATATTAGCCCGAAATTTAAAAACTGAATGTTTAAAATAAGCTCACCATTGCTCTGTAGTTGAACTCCTGGCCTGCTCAGCTAAAGAGTAATCATTAACTTGAGAAATTAAAAGTAATTAAAAAAAAAAAAGATTGATCCCTCATAGGAAAGAGTTCCTGCTAACACGTGAAGATTCATTTGCCTTTAAAATGAAGATAATATAGAAGTCATATAGAGGTAAGAATTTAGAATATAATGTCCAAGCTCTTGAACAAGGCATACTATCTCAAAGACAGTATCCCCAAGTTAATCCGCTTGGTGCTTAGGATTTTGAAATCTCAATTTTTTCAAATCAGAATTGAAGCAAAATATCAAAGAAGGGTGCCAAGTAGTAATTCAGTGATGTTGAAAATATGTTCAACTTTGTGGTTTAGGAGTGGTTATAGTTGATGAAACATTGCTAATTATCATTGAAATAATGGTTGAATCACTAATAAATTCTATGCAGGTGCATGTACACACATATACCAAGATGGTTGATATCTAATCATGACATAAACAAATAGAATTTATCACAGGAGAGCAACCTCACAGCCTCCAGGCAGTTTTGCAGGATCTCGCAGCAAAAATAAATTGGAATCATTAGGACATCAATTTTTAAATCACTTGGAAGCAATCACAATGTTTTATGTAATACTAAAGTTCTCTCTTCTTCACTTGCAAATGATCTCTTTTCCTCTCCGTGCCAGTTAAGAACTTGGCAATAATTGTTTTGAAGATGTACTGGAACAAATCATAAGGTGAAGTATTCATGAAGTGAAAGAACTGGAAAATGATGTATTTTATGATACAGAAAATGTTGAGTGACCTCTACATCAATTGAGGCAAGTTCTCCTCAGCCAAATATGTATCTCTTTGTCCAAATGATGATGTATTATAGTATTTATAGAACATAAGTTTATTCTTTAACATCACGTCTCTATTTCTTTTGTCAATTAAGTACTCAGTTTAGAAACTTTTGTGAGCAATTGGTAATGGAAAAATTCAGTGTAACCAAAATATTGTGGTAGAGTCAAGTGCTTAGGCAGATGAAGTTTCTACAGCGTCCTTGCAGCCAGGCAGTCCTGTTGCCCTGTCCTCATTGCATCTTGCCTAGGAAGATCTACTCTTTGCTGTGCCTTACTTACCTTGCTGTTGAAGGCCTGGTCTTCTGATATCTGTTCTGCCAGAGACCCAACCACTTTCCACAGTCTCCTCTTCAAATCAAACCACTACAAGTAACCGTTGGGAAATCACTTCATATAAATAGAGCAAACCTTTTTTTTTCTTTGCATTGCTGAAATAATGACAGTAAAAGGCAGGGGGAGGGGACAGATATTACAAATATGTAATTTGTTAAGCTGTCAACTGTGGAGGATAATACTGAACTTTAACTAACAATTTCTTGAAAGTATCTTTAGGTCCTATTCAGTTTATTTTTGTATCAAATTGTTATTGTTTGAAGCAGTCATTCTAGCCATGTGATGAACTATTCAGGTCAGCTAATTGCTTGGTTAGGGAGATGATCATCCTGTGGATTAGCCATAGCAAAGTCTAAACTTTTAGATCACCTTCCTTTGACCACTGCTACCATCACTGAACTGCCTCTTTGTGGATCACAGGTTTATGTGCTAAGAGCTCTGGTCCTCCATATGGCTGCACAGTGGAATTATCTGGGAACTTTAAAAAGAAATTCTTAGACTTAGATCCAATTCTCGGGCACATTGACTTGGTCTTGGATCAGACCAGGATATTGATGTATTTTTCACAGCTGTGCAGGTGATTCAAATACATATATAAGAGATGAAAACCAGTGTCTTGAAAATGTCCTCATCTGCTGTGCAAGAAAAGCAGCATTGGCCTTGAAAATGAATTCACTATGATTAATGTTCATATTTTCAGTTTAAAAAATAAGGGTGTTGCTGATAGGAAGGTAGTATATAAAGAGACTGGGGGAAATTCTGAAGCGAAAGAAGAAAATCATTTAAAATTAGTGTGAGAAAGGTCTTTGAAAACTGATTAGTTTAAATAAAACGAACTTTTCACAATTGTGGACTTTTGCACTGTTACGTTCAGAAGATGGCAAAGATAAATTTTAAAAAACTGTCTTGTGTGTGGTACAAAAGTGGGCGATTAGAGGCTGTGTGTAATTTTTAATTTGAGGTTTTAAATCTGATGATTTAAAAATAAGAAAACCCTAAAAACAAAGGGTAAGTCTGTTTCTAAGAAACCAATACTTTGAAGGTGAAGAATGCATCAGAAAACAGTAACTGGGATTGGAAAAGACTTTGGGCTTGAAGTAGATCCAGGAAGGCAGGTGCACAGAAAAGGCATTGTCGCTACCAGTCACCTTCCTGGTGTCCCAGCATGCTGTGAGGACAGCAAGGCTGCTGGCCTGATTCTTGATCTTCTTTGAAATATATGTTCAGCTTGGAGGAGTCTATCAGACCAGAGCTACGTAATGAAAAGATAAACCTGACCAAAGAGTTGTACTAATGCTAGTCTTTAGTTCCTATGAAGAAGTGGCTTACTTTGGATGTTTTTCTTTGATGACTATATTAAGTAGTTGAGCTTATTTCTCAGGATCTATTATGATCAAAGAATGGAACAAAAACTGGAAGAGATACAAAGATGAGTTTGCTGACTTAGCAATTACTCTGTCAGCTATGTGCTTCCAGGTTTCTAGAGTAGGAGAGAGATCAAAGCAAAGTCCCAGCACTCACAGAGCATGAGTTTTGGTGGAGGGTAACAGACGAGAAAGAAATGTGTAATGGAAAGCCAGGTAGTGATAAATAGGTTTTTAAAAAAGTTCTGGCAGGGTTAGAGCATAGATGGTGATGGAAGAGATGCAGGCTGCTCTTGTTACAAAATGTGCACAGAAAGTGGGTCTGATGGAATGACAGTTGCAGAGACCCGAAACATGTTAGAGTTACTCAGGGATGGAAAGGACATGAATAAAAGGGTATCATGGCTGTCTGGAGATAGAGGGCTTCATATGCTGAATGAATAGCAGGTACAGAGGCTCTGAGACAAGTGGCCTCCACTGCTGGGTCTGTTTGAAGAACAGTGAGAACAACAGTGAATCAGACATAGAGCAGAGGAGGGGACATTAGAATGAGATAAGGGCTTTGGGTTTTAGTCTAAACATAATGGTAAATACTTAACATTGAGCACAGCTAGAATAGGAAAGACGACTTTTGGAAAAATGTAAACCATCCCTCTAACTGCTGAAAATGTGTGTGTGTGTCTGCCTTTGTATGTGTATGTGTGTACATACATGCACAGGTATGCTCACTTATGCATAGTGAGAAATACAGAGGCAAGTTTGGAAACAGGGATTCTAAGAATGGGCCAAAGATAGTGGTGGCCCACTAGTGGTGGGTAACTTTGGTAAAATTTATTGTTGAACAGAATATGAGGAATGAGGGAAAGAAAAGTTGACAGTGATTCCAAAGTTTGTGGCAAGCATAACTGGGCAAATGGAGATGCCTTTACTGGACAGGAAAGACTTAAAGGAGTGGGTTGGGAGGAGCCTGGATGAAAATCCAGGGTTCAGTTTCACATATGCCTAACAGGCATGCAAATGAAGATGAATCCTTGAGTCTCTGCCCTCAAGATTATAACCTAACAGAGAAGAAATCAGAACATAGGCAAAATGCCGAGTTCTACAGGAAGATACAAATATATGACAGGAACATTCAGAGGGGAAAGTTAGGGAGAAATATTTGTGCAAAAAGATACGTTGACCAGGATCCTTTGAGAAGAAAGATACCATCTTGGTGAAGAAAAGAAAAGAGGAATAAAAAAAAAAAAATCAAGGGAGAGGAAATGCCAGAAACAAAGCCTTGAACTGTGAATGTGTTATGTGTTGGGGGATCAGCAAGTGGATTGGTATACCTGGAGCTTAGGGTGCAGAGAGAGGAATCATGGGGGAAGGTGGGAA